CCGAGAAATTAACTTTTCCACGGCTCGTTGCGTGTTTTAATAATAGCAAGTCTTGCCGTAATTGCATTAAAAGCTTTTGGATTGCTGTAATTGCAATGTGTGTGATTCGGTGCGATCGGTTCCGGTTTCCACACCGTCCGTTGCAGGAAAATGATTCTGACCCTTAGCTTTACTTGGAATCTTTTTTCCCTCCATTTTGTTGCGTTTCTGCGCTGATGCGTCCCAGCCGCATATTTGAACATGTCGCTGCTTGTGGAGATTGTGGACAACCGAGATATCGTCTTGTGTTTTTTTAGGAGTTGCAACTCTGTTGTAGGGTTACGTTTCTTGTATTGTGTCCAAATGGCATTGATACGTGTGCCATTTAAAATTATTTATTTGTTTATTTATTTGCTGTCATGTTGTGTTATGATGATGATGATGATTATCTGTACCTTTTGGTTACTATGAGCTTCATCACATTGGCTTTATTTTCCAAAGAATACGTGATTAAAATGCTAAAACGAATGCTTTTTGTTTTGCCTGTCAGTCAACCACATCCAACTGTAAGGCCCTTTAGTCATTTCACCAGCAAATGTGGTCAAAAAGGAGACAAACGAAAACCGAAGTACAAACTAGGTCACCCGAGCGTATTGGCTCAGTTTCCTGGATTTGAAGCCTGTGAGATCGTGTCGGCCTCAGTCTGCTGCTTAGCGTTCTTGTTTAGATATGCCCATACCATCCTGCTGCTGCACTACTTCTCACATGGACATCCCCTAACAGTGTACAGTCAGAAAAATCCAGTACGGTGACTTTTTAAAATGGGTTTCCATTTAAAGCGTTGCAATGAAACCATGGATTGAGTATACACTCCTCAACTCCTCTAACAAGGTGCTCTTTTCTTCAGTCAATCCTGTAGCTTATCTCCTCTCGGTCTATCTTTGGTCTCGCCCCTTTTGGGGCCTACTATATGGAGTCTTTGAAGTAGGCTGTGTTTGGGGTCACGGCGGTGCACAGAGCCAGATGAGGCTGAGGCCTCTTAGCGGGCCAAGCCGATTTCTTTTTTCTAAGGCTCTTGTGATGGCTGCCCGGCTTGTTTTTTACGCTGCTGTTTGTTTGGACTTGTGCAGATATTGAAATGTAGCTAATGAGCCCCAGCACGGATTTGGCTTGAGTTAGTAGATAGAGACAGCCGCTTTGTAATTGGAAAATAAAGGGGGAAATGCACTCTATTGATGTAGACGAAATGGTAGTTTTTAGCGTTGTACGTTTTGCTGTGGTTGTGTGGATTTGTGAGTTCCACTCGTGTTTTAAGATATTTTTTTCATTTCTGCCCTCATCTTGGACAGACCTTGAGCTCCTGATTAGTGAAAGGGTGGTCATCAGGTGGTAAAAGTGCACGTTATAGTCCCGTTACTACCATATCGGGATTCGCTAGCGTAGCGCAGGTGGGCTGTCAACAACTGCCCAGAGGTGATAACGATGTCGGGGCGAGGGGGGGGGGGAATTGTGACCCTCCTGTCAAGCCTTCGGCGGCTGCATCCATGGGAAAAATTTCTGCGTGTGCATCGCAATCGGATACGTCAGCAGTGAGCATAAATATAGCTCCGGCTGATCTTCCTCACTGTACTTCACAAACAGAGGATTTAGCTCGTTATGTTTGGCATCGGCTCAGTCAGGAAATGGGTCGTGTGAAGTCTGGTTCAGCATACTGAACCCCCCCAACCCCCCACCTCCACGTCTCTGTGGATCAGTACAAGTTGTGGAAACTAAGAATATGCAGCCAAATATGGCGTCTGTGTTTCCGATTAGCGGGTGGCGCTGGGGTGGCGATTGAGACGGAGTTTTATTGAATAACCGGGTCTACATGTCCTGGCTTGGAAAACTGAAACTATGTTCATTATGTCTGTGGATGAGTAAGAGGAGGTTAGTCCCCAGAACTTCATTATCGGCTCTAATTAACCCCATGCACGCAACATGTCACAGAGAGGGCGGCCTTAAAATTCTTTCAGATGTTTGTAGATGATGTGGACTTATGCAATTATGCACACACATTGTCACCTTTCTCCATCCAGTTATTTATCTTTTTCCTTTTGTTTGTCTGCCGTCTGGACATGACCGAGTTGAACCAACCGTGCGCAGGACTACGGGGCGATATGATATGATGCGTTTATCAGATTCAGAGACAGAAACAGATGGATTTTTGAGAGCCTTTTGGGAGATCAGATAAGTTCAAGGATCACAGCATGAACATTTTTCTCACCGACTACGACAGACTGCCATTAAAGTCCAACATATCCTCTCTTGTCAGTCTCTCTTGTATTCTGAATTTTCCTGTTCTCTTGCCTGTTTTTGAAAAACAC